TTATAGGATGCCTAAAGTTAGACTTGTGTTCATGGAAATGTATATATCAACTGTGTTTGCTATGAAAATATTTAGATTAATTAAGATCTTTAGTAATTCAATAAAATGTGGGGGGAAAACAGTATAGAAAGTAAACATAGTTACCAGAGACAGTGTGGGAGGAGAGTGGGAGATGGCAGAGGGTAAGAGATAGGGAACAAGGATGGGGGAAAAAAGCAAAACATACAGGAAACAAGAAATGGAAAATTATTTGTTGACAATAACATGTATGTTGATGTGCTTGATTGAGACATTATACAGTGTACTCTGGATGGAAAATCTCATTTTGTATGCTGTAATGATGTACAGTGAATGAACGTAAACAAATAAATTAAAAAAAAAAAAAAAAAAGCCCGTAATCTCTTTACTGTCCATTTAAGTGATAGTTAAATCATGGAATTTTACATATACTCAGCTTCTATGGAGTATTTCTAGGGTTTTTTTGTTTGTTTTATTGCTGGAGAGTACATGTGTTTGCAGAAGAGAGAGGGAGAGGGACCAGCGGATGGTGTAATGGTTATGTCACTGGACTCCCACATAGTTGACCACAGTTCGAGTCTTGGACCAGGCAACTTAAAACATGCTGAGCACGTGTGTGGGCATGCTCAAGATCCCAAGAGGTGAATGGAGGAGAGGGGATTGCAGTGTGGCCATCCCCCCAGAAACGATTTCTCACTTTTTATCTCTATCTCTCTGGCAAGCTCATGTGCCCTATAGCAAAAATCTCTCTAAAAAAAAAGAGGGAGAAATCAACTTCTGATGGGCATAGTCACACCACAATCCCTCTCCTCCATTTCTCTATCCCATCAGGATTTTGGTACATATGTGCATGCACCTAGTATACTTTTTTAAGCCACTGGGACTGGAATTCGAACCACAAGGTTGGTCATATGAGATCTGTCTCCCTTAATCACTTGGCTATGGGGCTAGTCCATCTCTAGCATTCTTTAGAAGAAAAATATATGCAAGTGGTGTGGAGGTTAAGGTGCTGGATCTCACATGGCCAACTGCATGGTTTGAGTCTTGGACCTGGCAGCTTGAAAATCAAGTTGGGTGTTTATGTGTACATGCCCAAAATCCTGAGGGGAGAATGGAAGAGAAGGAATTGTGGCATGGTTATTCTCCTTGGGGGTAGGGTGATTTCTCACTGCCCTTGGCCCCATCTGTCTCTGGCAAGTGTATGCACCCTATAGGAAAAACTTAAATATTAGGTCATTGGGAAAATCATGGCATATTTTTCTGTTTTTCCATGCAAAAATGGATCATGACTTTCCTGATTACCCAATAAATGAATAAATAAATAAACAAGTTGTGAGAGTACTTTAAAATTAAAGAAAAAAAGGAAAGAAAGCATACAATAGTCCATATGCACTTCAAACCTGCATTTGTGTGGTATAACACCACACATCACTGTGGTGACCTTCTGGTTTGGGAGAGTAAACAATCCCGAAAGTTTGAAAACCACTGTATTCAGACAAAAATGGAAGTCATTAACTATGTATTACCTATAATTAGAACATATTTGGTAAATGACAAAAAGTATTGCCGAAAGCCACTCCAGAAATTGAAGCCTACTGCTGTTCAGCACGTGGTTACTCTCAGACACAAGGGCAGCCAAACCAACGCCAGCAAGGACGGCCACCACTGCATTGCTCTGCATCCAGAACCGTTCTACCTGTGAAAGAGACATACAGACAGCATGTCCAGCTGACTAGTTTACGCAATCAGTCAGATAGTTACACTTTTTAAAAATACATAACATACAGGTAGTTGCTTATGCCTCCTGTCACTCAGATCTTAACTCACTTCCACCGTTCAACTCTATGTCACTTTATTTTTCAGTTGTCAAACATTCCTCCTTCCCACTTTGACATGTGCATCCCCCTTCTGAGATCCGCCCATTCATCTTGATGCTGTAGCCTTGGTCTTGAACTCCAGTGATATGTAACCGGGAGGAGGGAGAGGGACACTCTTGCTTTACTAGTGTTTCCTTCCATGTGGAGATTCTTTGTTAGTTTAATTGTCCTGGCCACTCTCTATGCACTTATTATTCTTCCTGTAGGACTGTAGGAACTGATTTCACTGGCAAGTTAGGAGCCACAGTCGGGTCTGCAGAGCCCTTCCATTCCCTCTTACCTTCTCTTGGAAATAAGTTGCCCACGGGAAACATTTGTCCAGGGACAGAGTCTGTCCCTTGGCACCAGTAGGGTGGTGTAGTCCTGCCATAAGCTTGTTCCTTCTGAGATGTAGCATGAGGATGCCCACTCTCCCAACCCCACCACCAGTCATAGACAAACCACATTCTCCAACCTTAATGTTACTAGCAATAAAGGTAATTCTTCCACCACTATACTGGCTTATCTTATTTCTCAATGGATTCAGAACTTAGGGGATCAAGAGGGTATTGTTTAGGCTTCTTGAACACACACAGGCCAGTTGGTCTCAGCTGTCAAAATAGAGCTTTCTATGTTTACAGAATTTCTATCTTAAGGAGAACAAGTACACTCATCTCAGAGATGGCTGATAGGGAAAACAGAAGCACAGTGGTTCTTTTGTGTAGGCTTGGGACTGATGAGGTGGTAAGTCAGGGAATATGTTGGTAAGAGCCCTACTGGGAACTCATTTTTCTTTTGCTATTTAAAAAAATTCCAGCAGTATTTGCAAGGATATACACACAAAATGACTAACTTAAATCTACTTTACAACTATTTTTCTGTTTAGCAGTTCTAGTTAACTAAACATAGCAATTTTTTTTTTTCTAAAAACAGGTCGTTCAGCAATTTAACTTTTGATGTCTAAAAATGTATTTACAATTTTAATTATTCCTGAAAAAAATTTGCTCCATCCATAAAAGACAAATCTATACATTCTTCACAAACTTTCTGATCAAAGGGATATATCTAAATAAGACTTACCACACCCAAGAAAAGTGGTTTTGAAATATCTAAATTTGCCCTCCAAGCAAAGAACAATGAGTAAAGGCAAAACATTCCAGTAAAAAGCCATACTAATGATGGATTCTGACTGTTCCTATAAAAAAATAAAAATTATTGTTATGCATGACTATCAATAATAATATTACATAGCGTTAAACTACTGGAAAAATATTTGAAGCTATAGAACTTTTAATTTTTAACTAAGAATGAAAAAACATCTTGGTTTTAAAAATCTGGGTTGGAATACATAAACAAACAGTAATAAACTTGAACTACATGTTGTAGATAACTGGAACTGTGAAGCAAAGGACATAAAGTTAAAATTCACAGAAGAAAGATAAACTATTAATATTGTTAAATTGAAAAACAAAAGTATATTTTTGCTATAGGGCAGAGAGAAACAGAGAGCCAGAAAGTGAGAAATCACCCCCCAGAGGGGATGGTCATGCCACAATCCCTTCTCCTCCATTCTCCTCTCAGGATCTTGGGCATGTACGCACACGTGTCCAGTGTGAGTTTAAGCCACCGGGTCTGGGACTCGAACCACAGTCGACTACATGGGAGTTCAGCGACATAGCCATTACGCTAACTGCTGGTCCCATAATAAAAGTATATTTTTATGCTTGAAATAAACAGTTCAAAATGATGAATCTCAAATGTTGCTGAGAATGCATTAATATGAGAATGTATGTTAGTATAATCTTTTTTCTTTAAAAAATTATTAATTTAATTTTATTTATTATTATTTATTTATTTTGAGAGCTTTTTGTTATAGGATGCATGTGCTCACCAGAGAGACAGAGAGACAGAAAGCAAGAAATCACCCCCCAGGAGGATGGCCATGCCATAATCCCTTCTCCATTCTCTTCTCGGGATCTCGGGCATGCACACACATATGCTTGGTATGAGTTTTAAGCTGCTGGGTCTGGGACTTAAACTTTGGTTGGCTAAGTGGGAGTCCAGTGACATAACCATTAAGTGAGTAGCAAATTAACAGAGGTTAATAATGCTAGATTTTTTAGTTTTTCTTTTAACACAGAGGAATTTTAAAAATTGTTTCCTTTTATTTATTTTTGTCTTAAGTGCTTCTTTCTTGGAAGTTCAAATCAGCAATAATAATTGGCTATGGGCAAGGCTGGTCCCGTGGTCTAGTGTTTAATGTTGCTTGATCCCACATGGCCACCTGTGCTGTTTGATTCCTAGTCCTGGTGGCTTGAAAAACATCCCTGGCATATGTGCCCCAAATCCCAACAGAAAGCAGAAATGAAAAAGGGATTATGACACCCACTTAGGAGATTTCTCTCTCTCTCTCTGTCTCTCTCTGGTAATCAAATGTACCCTCTGGTTTATATTTTAAAAATAATAATTTTCCAGAGGCAGAGTAAAAGATCAAACTTCAAGTTTTAAGATATCAAATCACTTGTCTATTTAAACTGTACTATATGAAAAAATGTAGCCAATTTTTAAAAAATAATTGATTATCAGAAAAAAACTAGTAAGAAATACATATTTGCTTTAACAAAAGTGGTTAAGAGAGTAATTTATTTGGGGACCAGCAGATGGCATAATGGTTGTGTCGCATGCCAAGCACGTGTGTGTGTGTGCATGCCCCAAATCCTGAGATGAGAATGGAGGAGAAGGGATTGTGGCATGGCCATCCCTCCAGGGGGGATGATTTCTCACTTTCTGTATCTCTCTCACTCTCTCTGCCTCTCTGGCAAGCACACACACTCTATAGCAAAAATCTCCACCCCTATAAAGAAAAAATCTCCCGCGGGGAGTAAAAAAAAAAAAAAAAAAAAAGAAAGAAGAAAGGAAGAAAAGACAAAGAAAGAGAAAGAGTAAAATAGTACTGGCAGTGTACTACAAAGACATATTGAAAAAATTTATTCAATTCATGAACATGAGAAAAACAACAGAAAAAGGAATTTTATTACTCACTTTCTTGCTAAACATATATGTGCCCAAACTGCGAGGGCTTGGATGTTGAAGGAGAGTTCCATCTTCATGTTTGTTACTTGAGAACTGTAAAAAACAACTTAACTTACAGTTGGCAGAAAACAAATTTGGTTGACGAAAATAAAATATCCCTTGTAGAGTACAGTTCATATGCACTGAATGATTTTAAAAGCTGGAGTCTGATGTTCGAATTATTCTGTCTTCTAAATTCAGGAGAAAAAGTGCCACAGAAAGAGTTAAACACTGTAAGATGTTTTCCAATTGGAAATTTTGGCTCTCAATTTATATAATTTGGGATAGTACCACAAAAAACAATTCTTCTGTTTTGTTTGTTTGTTTGTTTGTTTGTTTGTTTTGGTATTGGCTTACTATATAAAATATCCCTAAATGGTTTGATAAGAAGTTGTTTGAAATAGGATTTTAATGTCCTTCTGTTGTCAGTATGGCCAAAGCCTTCAGTTATTTAGCAACTGAAAACAATATTAATTCAAATAATTTTCTGGAGATCCAATCATATGGAAGAAAAGGTCAAGAGAAATCTGCAACCATTCTTTCCCGGGTTATCTTCTTCCTTAAAAGGCTTCCTTGTCCTCTATATTATTTGGTTTGAAAAATGTTTAAGCGACCTTAAAGAAATGTATTCTTTTTCCCTTCTATTAATTCAGAAGCATTTTATTAGGTGTTACTTGAGTTCTAAAATAACTACTCTCTAACAGTCTCCAGTTTTTAAAAAAGAAAAGACTCTATACACTCTCAAAGAACTTTCTTTTCCCTGCTGGCAATTTTACTGGGGAAAATGTGATGGCCTAATTATGGAAACCACACAATGTGCATTTTACTAATGGGGACTCATCTACTATGAGACCATATCCTTACTCATTTTCAAGCACACTTGAAAAATTGATTCCAGCATGAGGCCCATTTTGAACCATTCTTCAAAAGGAATGAAGTCGGTCTCAAAATTAATTCTTGGAGATCTGTTGCTTAAATGTAAGCTCTAAAAGATGGTCACTGCCTAAGGTTAGATTCAATAATTTCCTTGTACAGGATTGCAATTTAGAGATATGCATGGGGAAAGAATTTAATTTGCTTGACTGGAAAAGGGTAGGAGATTTATTCCATCATTTGGAAGGATTTCCTTGTAAGTTAATTATGAGTTGCCATTTCAACACTCCTGTCCACCTGAAACAATTAAAGACTGGAAATTCTCTCACTCGGAGAGTGCTGGAATTACGCCTCCTTTCTACATGATGATTCAGACAGAATAAATAGTGAGGGTGTGAACAGTTGTAATTTCTGTCAAGTCTTTTTTCTCGGTATACAACCCAACTGCTATTATTATATATAAATGAAGCCTTTAAGTTCCCCAATAGATGACTTTCATGTGTAACTAATAAAAGCGAGATTTAAAATTTAGGACTACTCTTAGAGTTCTTTGGAGTTCATGTGGGATTTGTTAAGGCAAAATAAGACTAGTAATCCTGAATGCTGTAACAATCTCTGGAAGGTAGGTAGAAAAGAGGAAGTAGTAGGACCAGCAGATGGCATAATGCTAACAACACTGGACTCTCACGTAGTTGACCACAATTTGAGTCTGAACCCAGCGGTTTAAAACCCATGCTGGGTGCATGTGCCTGCCTGCCTAAAATCTTGAGAGACTGGAGAAGAACGAACTGTGCACAGTCTTACCACCTTGGGGGGTGATTTTTCACTTTCTGTCTAGCGAGTGCACACACCCTATAACAAAAATCTCTCTTTTTTTTAAAGTTTTTTTTGAGAAGTTTTTGCTATAGGGTGCATGCGCTCACCAGAACAACAGAGAGAGACAGAGATAGAGAAAGCGAGAAATCACCCCCCAGGGGGGATGGCCACGCCTCAATCCTTTCTCCTCCATTTTCCTCTCGGGATCTTGGGCATGCATGCATACATGCCCGGTGTGAGTTTTAAGCCACCAGGTCCAGGACGTGAACAATGGTCGACTACATGGGAGTCCAGCGACATAGCCATTACACAAAAACCCCTCTTAAAAAAGGGGAAGCAGTAAGTCTTTCCATATGTAGTAAAGTAGAATAAAGTGAAAACTCAGAAACATTTATTTATAAAACTGTCTTTCCTTTTTTTTTTTTTTTAAGGTTTTTGCCCTAGGGTTTGTGTGCTCACCAGAGAGACAGAGAGAAGAGATAGTGAGAAGGAAAGTGAGAAATAACCCTCTAGGGGTAATGGTCACACAGCAATCCCTTCTCCTCCATTTGCTTCTTGGGGTTTTGGGCATGCATGCACACGTGCCCAGTGTGTTTCAAACCGCCAGATCCCAGACTTGAACCATGGTTGGCCAGTGCCTTAACCACTATGCTACCTGATAGCCCTGATAAAGCTATATTTATCTTTAAAAGAAAACTGTGCTTATTGCTACCTTCACCACCACACACCAAAATTTTAAGGCCACAAAAATCTCATTGGACATAAAAAGAAATTTAAAATCAATTGTGAGAAAAATTAAAAAGTAAGAATAATTGATGGCAGGAAAATGTTTTCAAAATATAAAGTTTAAAAAAGCATGCTAATACAACTGTAGCTTAAGATTCCCTTCTTTAAAACAAAGTATAAAAATTACCAGAAGGATATTGACAAAAATATTAATAGATTAATAATAGTAGTGAGGGTTGCAAGTGGTATGGTGGTGAAGACATTGGACTCCCATATGGTTGACCATGGTTCAAGTCCTGGACCTGCTAGCTTGAAAAATCATGCTGGGCATATGTGCATGCATGCTCAAAATCCCAAGAGGAGAGTAGAGGTGAAGGGATTGTGGAGTGGCCATCCACTCTGGGAGGTGTTTTCTCATATTCCCTCATCTGTCTCTCTCTGATGCCTTATGGCAAAAGCTCAAAAAAGGAATGGTGGGTAGCTCTGTGTATTAGAATTATAGGTCATTTAAATTTTCATTCTGCTTGCCTGCATTTCCTAAATTTTCTATATGATTATGTACCTTGTTTCAGAGTAGGAAAAAGTTGTTTAAGAAGAAAGGAAGGATGGATAGAAGGAAGAAAGCTAGTCAGTAAACAAGACAAACTGTAAGAACTTATGAACTCTGTCATATGCATATAAAGTTGAAATATCCTCCTCCAAATTTCTGCAAATAGCCTTAAAAGTTCCAAATTGGTGATTAGCTAGATCATGTTAGTGTTACAGAGCTTTATTTTCTTCTAAAAATTTATATTGAAAACATTATAATTGGTATGGATATTTTTAAATTGGTATGGATATTTTTAAAGTTGTCATAATCTGTGTAAGTTTTAAAGCAAATACTAACCCATTTTTCAAAGAACACTATTGGATAATATAGATGAAAATATATTGGCTTAAGCTGCCTCTAATAAGGTTGGATGTTAAAAATATATATGTCAAAAAGAGGGCTTCTGAAGAGGACAGTCAAGAGGAAGTCATAAGAGACATCAAATAAATGACTCTCTAAAGAATTAAGAGTATAGCTCAAATCAAAATAACAAGAAAATGATTATTCAAATTGTGTTAAATACAATGTTGCAAAATATCTCCAAAAGAAAGACAACATGAAAACCTGAATAAAGAATAAACTATTCATAAAGGAACATTATATTGGGAAGTTACCCAATTTAAAGTTGAAACATTTCACTTTTATAGACTCTCATAGTCTCCTAATATTTTCATTCACCGTTGTTTATTACTTTTAAGCTTTATCTCACTGAACAAAAAACTAGGATGTTTGATAGTATATACAAACAATGTTAACTGGAAAGATGAAAACTATTTCTCAGACATACTTCTTTACAAAGAAAGGAACTCAGAAATCCCTAAAGTCATGTAAAGGAACTAATAGTGAATTCATTTAAAAATAGTTTCACATATTTCATACTCACAGCAGTATTTGAGACATACTGGATCCTATTTCAGATTTAGCCTAAACACAAAAGAAAAAGTTCCATTTATACAAGCATTAAACTGAAGCTTTGTTAGGCTATTATATTTTAACAATTTTGCTCTAAAAGATATGTATTTTAAATATATAATGCAACATCTCTCTTTATTTAAAGTCTTTAATTCAAAGCTTTATTAAAAATATTTTTAAAGTCTTTTTTTTCCCTTTTGGCTATAAGGAACGTGTGCTCACCAGAGAGCAAGAAACAGAAAGTGAGAAATCACCTCATAGTGGGTATGGCCATGCCACAGTCCCTTCTCCTCTAGTCTCCTCTCAGGATTTTTGGGCATGTGTTTGGCATGTTTTTCAAGTCACCAGGTCTGGGACTCTAACCCGGACCTGGCCTTACCCATCCAGGACCATAGGCACACCATGTGCACCCAGAACATAAAGGGAGACTTCCAGGTACACCTAGGACCCTCCCATGTGGCCTCAGCACAGCACCATTGTGGCCCTTACTAAAATTCTGGCCCTTAGTAAACTTAAGAGAAGGCAGTGAAAATTAAACTTGGACATCCTTTAAAAAGAAGTATATAAATATGTGGCTGAAAATAAATTAAATTATTCCAGCAGGAGTGATTAACACATTAGTGAATTATTACCTGTAATAGATTATTTTCCACTTCCGTTAGACTCTCTTTTTTAAAATTTTGCTAGAGAGTGTGTGCACTTGCTGGAGAGAGGGAGGGAAAGTGAAGAAGCATCCCCCAGGAGGAAGGTCACACCACAATCCCTTGTTCCCTTGGAACTTGGGCATGCACACACATATACCTGGTGTGTTCTTCAAGTCACTAGGTCTGAGACTTGAACCAAGCAGTTAGCCAGTGGGATCCAGCTGCCTTAACCACCATGCTGGTCCATTTTATAAATTCTCTTTAAGTTCTTTTTGGGCATTTTGCAGAAAGTTCACTGTAACCCATTAATCTTTAATTTTACAACTATGTGTGAATTATACAAATTTCAAACGGTAAATTTTAAGTTCTCCAATAGGAATGGCCCTCAAAGAATACTTTAATAGAATAACCAATATTAGTAAACATAAACTATATAAATAAACCAGAGTATAAATTTAAAGTAAGTAAAAATAAAAATTAACTTATTAATCTATCTTATTATGAAATATCTCCTATACCCACACATAATAAACAATTATATTTAAGAGATAAAAGGGACCAGTCAGTGGTGTGGTAGTTTAAACAGCTGGATTCCATATGGCTAGGTAGTTTGAGTCCTGGAACCAGCAGCTTGGTGCCCAAAATTCTAAAAGAATAAATGGAGGAGAAGGGATTGCAGCGTGGCCATCTTCCAAAGGGGGTGCCTTCTTACTTTTCTTTTCTCTTTCCCCTGTCTCTCTCTAGCTAGCACATATATACTCTAAAAAATTAAAAAGTAAAAGAGAGAGAGGGAGATAAAGAGTTTTTTCTTTTTAATGGCCAGAGGGCATATATGTTTGCTGGAGAAAGACATGAAGAGAGAGGGAGAAAGCCCCCTCCAATGGGGTATGGTCACATCATAATCCTTTCTCTTCCATTTCTCCATCTTGCTGGGATTTTAGGTACACACATGGGCCCAGGGTGTTTTGAACCTAGGTTGGCCATATAGGATCTGGTTCCTTTAACCAGGGCTACAGGTTGGCCCAAGAGATAAAGAGCTTTTATAAAATCTACAGATCCACCATTTATTTAACCAACAAAATCTTGGGCCAGTCAGTGGCATGGTGGTTAAAGCAGCTGGATCCCACATGGCTGATTGTGTGACTTGAGTCCTAGAGCTGGTAGCTTGAAAAACATGCTAGGCGTGTGTATGTATGTGCATGACCAATATCCTGAAAAGATAGGGAGATGGAGGATAAGGGGCTATGGCCTGGCCATCCCTCATGGAGAGCACTTTCTCACTTTCCTTCTCTCTGTTTCTTGAGTGCACACACATTCTGACAAAAATTTTAAAAATAAAACAAACAAAACTCCATAAATCCCATAAGGTATCTCACAAAGCCCTCTTTTTTTTTTTAAAGAATTATTTTATTAATTATAATTCTTTTTTAATTTGCTAGAAGGCGCATGTGCTCACCAGAGAGAGAGAGACAGAGAGAGCAAGAGGGAAAGTGAGAAAGCAAGCTGCCAGGTCTAGGACTTGAACTGTAATTAGTTATGTGGGAATCTAGCACCTTCACTACCACACCACCCACACAAAGCTCTCTTAAGCATCTGCTTTCTTAATGCTCAGTGGTAACAACTACCTTGACTTTGGTATTAATTAGTCCTGTAGTTTTAAAAAATATTGAGTTTTCCTACTTTTCTATGTATACTTTAACAATAGATTGTTTAGTTTCTGCATGGTTTAGGATTTCGTATAAATAGTATTACATACCATGTGCTCTTCTGAAACTTGCCTCTGAAGCAAGACACTGAAAGCGCAAGCCATGAGAGACCTGACGTAATGGTCTATATTAAAATAAAAAAATCTTTTGTTTATCCTTTCATTTTTCAGATAAACTTTATTAGAACTACCTTTAATAACTTCCCTTGCTATGCCTTAGGGAAAGCAAGGTCTTCTGAACTTCAGATTATAATATTTACATTTAGTGGACTCATATTTTATTATTTAATTTTACTTACAGATGTCTTCAGGTTTTTTTTTGTTTGTTTTCAGTTTTTATTTTGCTACAGGGTGCATGTGCTCTCTAGAGACAGAGAGAAAGAATGATAAATCAACCTCTGCAATCCCTTCTCCTCCATTTTCCTCTTGGGATTTTGGACATACATGTATATGCAACTGGCATGATTTTTAAGCCTCTGGGTCTGGGACTCAAACTGTGAAGTTGGCCATATTGGATCCAGCCAACTGACCCTCCATACCACCTACTGTCCCCAATATGTCTTCAGTTTTAAAAACTAAATACTAATATGAACACTATTCATCAAATATGCAATAAAAGGAAATATCTTGATCAAACTAAATTTTAAAACTTGAGGATTTTTTCCCTTCAATCTTTTCCAAATATCTTTATTCACAGACTACCCCAGGACTGACTAGCTAACAAGACTGAATTGCTTCATCTGCAGGCAGCAGAATCCCTTCCATGCTTGTTGGCCTGAGACGTTTATTCAGGATACCTAGCAATATAAGGACGGATTAAGTGATTCCAATTTTTTCCTAAAGTATTGTAGGCCACATTCCAAGGTACAAATTTGTTTCATGAATAACTGAAATGACAATTCTATCTACCGTCATTGATAAGCATTGTCTGTTTTTTCTCATACTTCAGAATACGTTTGCCACTTATTTCCACAGAGGATCCTGAAATATAAATTTACCAGACTGAATGTTCCATATTCTTCCCTGAGAAAATGTGTCAAAAACCCGAGCAGTGTTGTCTGGTCTCCCCAGGTCCACCGGGCTTGATTGAGGTAGGACGAGATAGGAAGGTAGACATAGGGCAGTAAACCAGCAGTGAAGCACAGGCTCAGCTTCAACACCAGGCCCAGGGAGAGTTCCTGCATCAGAGCACAATGCATTATGTAACAATGTTTATTTTAGTCAATCCATCCTGCAACTTCAAGAACACATCAAGGATAATATCAAATATGTTTACTCAGAGCTGATCTCTCAATTGATATTAAGTCACCACAGAATACTATGTTAAACCTTCTGATTACTGTGGATTACTAGAAAATCAGCCTGAACTCCTTTGCATGGCAGGTGAAATCTGAGTGAAGCAAATAATATTAGTAAAGACTCGTGAGTATCATGTTTATTGCATCTTTTGCATTTAAAACCGTGTCATGACATGCAGAATTGCATAGCTGAGATGACCCACTTAGAAGTGATTAAATATTGGTTAGCTGATTTTTAAATATGTCCAAGATAATATTCTAATACCAATTCACTTAATCACATCATTAAAAACAGACTTTAACAGTATACTCTTATGATTATACATAGTACATAATTCTTTGTATTTTGTACAGTTCATAGAAATTTTTGGCACAAACGAAGCTAGCTTTTATATAATCTCCAAGTAAGTTCATCCAAATGCTTTTCCCCTCAATCTACATATAGAATGGAGTACTAAAGGTAATTTGTTGTTATATGTAACAATGTTGCCTTGTATGCCTTTATTTGGGGGATATATTTCTTATCTATGCATTTCTAAAATGACTGACAAAGTTTTATAAACATTAAAAACAAAAAATATGCATTCTGGTATACCAGAAAGTTCAAATATTGGTTTCTTTAGTAACTGGGAAAGGGGGTCTCTTACAAATATCGTAATTGGAAATTGCCAATTTTGCCTTCACAAAAGAGAGATTCATATGTGAGAATGAATATAGGAACTAAGGTTCACACACACCAGGGGTAGAATAAGCAGTTGATTTATATTAGCATTTTCAAATAAACATTCTTAATTGAAAATGAAGTGTTTTATTATAGTACTGATTTCATTTGAGATTTCTATAGCAGTAATGAGATGCATAAAAATGATGGCATAAAAAGAATGTAAGAAATAGCTAATCTAACAACATGCTTTTGCTATTCTTAAAAGTGGTATTCAAGAAAGTATTTATGTTTTAGCAGTTTCTGCACGTTATAAAGTTGAATTTAGAATGGTAAATGCAGTTATGGCAGATTTTCTTTCAGTGTGAGAAATAAACAGGGAGACAATTACATGAGAGCTATTACAGAGAGTTTGGAGAATGGCTCTTAGTCCTAACTACACATTAGAATCTCCTGGAGAGCTTTTTAAAAATACCAATGTCTGGGTCTTACCCTCAATCAATTATATAAAAATTATTTTGGGATGGGATCAAGTTTTAGTATAAATATCATATATACTTATGTATATGTATATATATAAACACACATATTTACATATACATATATTATTATACATGTGTATGTGTGTGTCCATGTGTAGACACATACACATTTTAAAAAATTATTTTATTTATTTATTTTAATTTGATCAGAGAGTGAGATAGTGAGAGAGAGAGAGAGGGTAAGTAAGAAAGCAAGTCGTCAGGACCAGGACTCGAACCATGGTCAGCCATGTGGGAGTCCAGAGCCTTTAACCACCATGCCACCTGCTGGCCCCACACACATTTTTTTAAGCTTCCAGATAGTGTAATCAAGTAGTCAGGATTGATGGACCAGCAGATGGTGTAATGGCTACATCACTGGACTTCCATATAGTACACTGTGGTTCAAGTCCTGGACCCAATAACTTAAACTCACACTGGGCACATGTGTGTACATGCCCAAGATCCCAAGAGGAGAATGGAGGAGAAGAGACTGTGGTGTTGCCACCCCCCTGGAGGGTGATTTTTCGCTTTCTGTCTCTGTGTCTGTCTCTGTCTGGTGAGCACATGTACCTTATTAGCAAAAGCCTCCCTCCACCCCCCACCTCCCCCCCAAAAAAATAATAGTCAGGGTTGAAAGCAATGTCACTCAGGACTTCTTATTCTCCTCAAGTCACCTGGTAGTGAGATCCAACTATGCTGTTTCTTCACTGGTAGATCTTCCAATCAACCAAAACAACATATTTTCTTTTTGCAGAGAATGCACCCCTCTGATAGCTGCATATTCAGAAGCCTGGCTAAGATGACTGATACCAGGATGGGACATGTTGTCTATCTACCCCCATCTGGGCATCCATTGACTCAAGAAAAATACTTGGGCCTCTTCGGATTTGTATTCCATAGGAGAGCTTTTACCAAGTTAGACTTTTGTATGTTATATCTTTATTTTTTTAAATCAAGGATTTACATAATAAAAGACCATATAAAGAATGTTCTATAAGAAACCAGCAGTTAGCATAATGGCTATGTCGCTGGACTCCCACATAGTCAACTGCGGTTCGCATCCCGGACCCGGTGGCTTAAAACTCATGCCGGGCGCGTGTGCGTGCATGCCCAAGATCCCGAGAGAAGAATGGAGGAGAAGGGATTGTGGCGTGACCATCCCCCCTGGGGGGTGATTTCTCGCTTTTGTCTCTATGTCTCTCTCTGTCTGTCTGGCGAGCGCACGCGCCCTATAGTGAAAATCTCTCCAAAAAAAAAAAAGAATGTTCTATATAGTCTGTAAAACCACTGTTAACAATACTGCCTGTTATACTGTTAAATAGCCATTACATAAGGACTATATGCTTGACTTCACAGGTTCAGTTCCAAGAACAATTGCTCATTCCTGTTAATAGCTGTTTCCTTTATTTACTTTTTAATCATACACTATTGATTTTATATTTCTGTCTAACCCAACTCCCTGCTTTCCCTCACCTATATCTCCCAATGCCTAACAAAGTAATTTTCCTATTGTTGCTTTGTAGCACCACTTTAATTAATAATCTTTTTTGTTATTGTTGTTCAGAGAAAGAAGAAACAATACTAAATTGTTTTCAACCGTGTGTTCTGAGAAAACAGAACTGTTACTTATCAGAGATTTTATTATTTAGTCCGCAATAGCAGCAAAGTCTGTTTTATTGAGAGCTGAATCTGTAGTACCTGAAGCAAGCTATATGGCACAGAGCAGGCACTCAACCAACTAAAAGTGGATGAACCGGGTATTACTGGCACACCACCCTGTGTCTCAGAATGTATAATAAAACAATTAAGGAAATTTGATATTGTTGCTTTAAGTCCTTTCAGCTTACTTTCATCAGGTGCTTTTCAGAATCAGTAAGAAAATTGTGAAACAGGCCATATGCTACCACAATCAATACTGCATAATTTTTGTAAATCCTATTTTTTTCAGTCAATATTGTTAGGACCTAAGGTTATTTAGCTTCACATAGAACTCAAGAAAAATTAAAGCCTTGAGTTTTCTGATGACACAATACTATACTGAAACTAAATAAATATTATAAATTTTAATTTTACAAAATTCAGAAACCTACCTTCTTTTTTAAAAGTCGAAAGAGAATCCAAGGGACTATGCACAAAACATAGAGTATTATCGTGTGCTGGTTACATAAGCTAAGGCCACAGCAGAAAGCACCAATTTTTGCTATCTGAAAATGAATAGAAGTAAAAAAAAAAAAAAAAAGAAAAAGCTGAGTTATAAATTCACCTAAAACTCTGGGTAAGCACAATGGTAAAAAGTCACTCTTTGTATTAAAACCAAGCATTTCTAATATAAGTCAGGTTAAAATCAGCCTCTTAGAAGCAAACAAACAGTTATACTTTAACTGCTTTAAATAAGTAGTCACTAATATTTATTACTAGTAGCTTTTCTTAATATTTTCTATTTTCATTAAATAACTGCAGCTTGTCCTTAAATGACTGTCTTCAAACTGACTTATAGGAGGTCCTTTAGGAAGACTGGGTAACTCCTAACAACAATAATAGGGTATTCTGTAATTCTTATTCCAGTAAAATATTTAAATAAAGTCCAGCAATTCTATGTTACTTTTTCTCTTATTAAATAAATAAAATATAACACATTTTATTTAGAAGCCTAGGCGTCTCTGGATAGTGTTTTTTGTTTTTGTTTTTTTGCATTTTTCGAACATGAATTTGTTTCATAAATGACAAAGATTCCCTTCCTGACTGAACTCTAATCAGGTTCCTTTGAATTCTCTTCTCATCAGGCCTTGACTTTTGGGCTTCCATGTTCCTCTCTGAGCTGTCTGATTTTAGGCAGAATCCTGCTAAGGTGGTTTAGCAAGAACTCACCACTCTCGGTATCTCACCACACTCCCTATCTGATCAAGTGTCTCCTCCACTTCCCCAGGTGATGTCGGATTCCTTTGGCCTGTTTTCAGCATGAATTCAATGTAGCCAAAATCCCTTTTTACCTCAATTTTTCCTCTCAGTCAATTTTCATCTTCTGATCCCCACCTTTTCCTTGGCTAGAAATTCCCACTTTCCCTTGTATTTGGAGTTAAATCTGATCTCTCCCTCCACTACAAAACCCCATTGAAGTGGTCCCTACACCTGAATCTGAATAATGTTTGCCTTACATGCTTTAATAAGTATACTTGATATTCTTTTCTTAACTGACTCAGACAAAAAGGTTATTTTAAACAAGCAAACAAACTAAAAAACTCTAATAGCCTCACAGATCAAATTATGGGACTCACAGATAAACCATGATGTTCTTTTGTTTATGTATTACTTAACAACACGGGGCTGCCTATAGTAAGATGATTTGGCATTTTCCAATACATAGACTGTAAATTCTTAGATGATAGAGTTCTTTCAAGTTTCAAATGAATGTGATGATAGCGTTTTAATTTCATTGCAATTTCTTCTGAACTACTTTGTTTTTACATTTAATATTTTCCTTTTAGTTAAAAAAATTACAAATTTAACCTTTTTTTTTTCAGTTAGGGAGTGAGTTGATATACCATAATGGCACACTATTTAAGGTGGTCAGTCTTTAAAGTGGCTTGGCATCTGATAACACACACAAACAAATGATGATGAATTAACGAACAAACCTATCTTCTCCTATGAGACTCACAGATTTCATTATCCCCTCATTCTCTAAAAACTTCTGAACACTAAGGGAGAAAAAAGTCCTACATTTTATAAGGGCTATCATGGTTCCATTCATAATAAAAGAACTGAGAACATTTACTTTCTCAACATGCCTAGATTACCTTGACAGTAATCAGAATAGATAAACAGTATCTAAACCAAAGTTAAAAAGAAATACAGCATCTGTCTAAAAATTAAAACAAAAAATGACTCACTTTGATCAAAATAGGTTACCTTTGATCTCTCCTTTGCAGTTGCTGCCTCCTCAAAATGTACAGTAAGAGCCATAAGCAGCCCCACAAACAGATTGTTTAAGCTAAAAACCTCTGCTGCAATGGACCACTGCCATGTTAGACGAGAAAATGAAAACACCCCCGCAGCAAGGATTCCTCCAGCATATGAGCCAGAAAGCCTGCAAATACAGATAACATGAAATCTTCTTTCCCAACAAAAAGAACTGACTTTATTTTCCTTTTTATAAACTGTACCAGCAAAAATTATGACAGTCACCAAGCACTACTCCAACACATTATATGGTTAATACACTACTTCATATAATAATTTCTTTCAACATATTTTAATTAGGAAGTCCATATGTTAGCTAACCTATTCACAAACAAATGAACAAACCTATGGGTAGAATATGCTGTAGTCTTCAGATGTAAGATTCAAGACAGTTCAGAAAACCTGAAGAGAGAGTAACTAGAGAGATATACCCATGTCATTTTCTTGCTATCTCCACAAAGAAAGATGGTCTGGCTAAGACCTAAATAGGTTTGACTGTAAAAATTAATGAAATGACAAACATATTTTATTCAGGAATACTCATTCTACTTCTTGTGGACTGTTTGGATCTAGGTACCCCTCTACATTTTTTTTCCTAAAATTTATACATGTATATAAAATGTACATATATATACATGTATACGCACACACACATGAGAGAGAAAGAAAGAGAGAAAAAAGATAAGATCCGTAAACAGGGTCTCATACCGTGATCCCCTTAGCCTTTCCAACCAGCTAGAATCACGGGTACATATGCCCAGTGCGTAGGTCAACTAGGTAACTGAATCCATGATCTTCTATATGGACTCAGCTTCCCTTGAGCAGTGTGTTACTGCTGCTCTACCAAGCCAACCTACCTTAGACTTTTATCTTTCAACATATAATGAAGAATGTTTTGGCCATGATGACTGTAAGGTCTTGTACGGATAAGTTCTTTGTTTCTAATGGCTTTTTCTTTAGACAAATTTAAAATTAAAAATGATACTTTTTTAAAAGAGGAAGATGGGACTGTGAATTTTGATAACACCAAAAGAATCAAGTGCTACATTTGGAAACAATTTTCTCATCCCCAGTGCCAACAAGTGTCTACACGGCAAATCGATCAGAAATCTGGATCCAGTTCAGAGATTTGGTCTGAGACCGCCAGTGTGGTTGAATATACTAGTGCATTTTAAATGACGACAACTTCCTGCTTTGCTATAAATCTAAAACCTAGAATAAAAGCTATTACCAAATACCTATGTGCTATATAATAGTGTTAGGAAATACAGCAATTATGTGTCTAAAAATTAACTCATTATTTTAACTAAATTGTTTTGTATAAAAATGTATAAGCCCAGAAGCGGTAGTGCAAGGAGGGCACCACTGCATGAGGCTGGGACTAACAGGCACAGGCCGGTGCAGTGACATGTGTCTGTGACCCTAACTGGGTGGCTGGGGCAGAGGATCGCAATAACAAGACCCTGCCAAAAATGCCTACATCCCCCTTTCTCTCCCTCCCACTTCTGCAGTCATTCATGCTATCTTATTTTTTTTTTAAAGGTTACAATGTAATTCCATGGCTTTAATAAACTATTATAGAAAAAAATAGTAAAAGAAAATTCAGTATCATCTAACCTGACCCTTCTGAATGCCTTTTGTAATTTAATGATCTTATCTTTCTCTTATAGAAATCAAAATTTTCCTATTTATTTCAGTTTTCCGTTCTCCCAGTGATCCAGATTCAACACAACAAAGTAATTTCTTCCTTATGAACTATTTTTCTTTGTTTTGATTTGTATTCAAACTGTTCTAGACCCAATTACTTTTAATAGTCTCCTAACTTGTCTTCTATTTTCCAATGTATTCTGCAATATAATATCATATCAAATTTTCTAAAGTACTATTTTTGACCACTTAGCCCCCAAATTTAAGAACACTTCATTGGATAAATTCTAAATGAGTCAGCCTGGAATCTGGGCTTCTGACAAACTGGGACCCCACCCATCCACTAATTACCAACATTACTATCTCTATCAACTAGTCAGGTGCCTGAGAATTCCCGAGTAAGACACACCTCTTCCTAGCACCATACTTTTGCTCATGCTCTACCTCTGAATAGAACGTCCTCCCAGCTCCTTTCTATTAATTCAAATCCTATTCGTTTTGCAAGTTTCTCTTCAGTTCCCTGGTTTCTAGCTCATCCATGGCTATGTCGCTGGACTCCCACGTAGTCGACCGCGGTTTGCGTCCTGGACCCGGTGGCTTAAAACTCACGCCGGTGCGTGTGCGTGCGTCCCCAAGATCCCAAGAGGAGAACGGAGGAGAAGGGATTGAGGCGTGGCCATCCCCCTGGGAGGTGATTTCTAGCTTTCTGTCTGTCTCTGTCTGGCGAGCGCAGGCGCCCTATAGCAAAAACCTCTCCCAAAAATAAATAAATAAATAAATAATTAAAA